TCCAGACAGTCGCCGCTGTACAATATTATTATACGCTAACTATATTATATACTAACTAATATTACCAGGGGTTCTTAACACTGTAAAAAGAACAGCTAATAAAAATGGTTTAATCAGAATCCAAAAAAGTCGTTGAGATTTAGTATTCGGTAATGCGCTGACCAAGACTAATGCGTTTCTCAAGAATCGATTAGATAAAATTGTTTCTACCTTAAACCACCGAAGAAATTCAAATATATATTGTGTATATACTATATATATATATACATATTTGCTCTTTGGTTACTTATACCTTTAGGTTGACATAGGTATATTATGTAGAATGCAATAATGTCAATATATCTATATTCTGTTGTTTTTTGTTGCAATTAAATGGATCATGAACACAGAGCAAGAGTTATATCCATGCATTATACAATACACATATATTACTTACTGCATGCAGCATGCATGCAAAAAAAACTTTATAAAGCACCTGCCTGATGTCTGATGTACTCGGGGTAATTGAATTTAAATTGTTTATGTTATGTACGGATGTATAGGTAGTATGTGATAATTCATGTGTTTCATGGTATAATAGTGTTACGATGTATAGTTATTATTATAAATGACAGAAAAATAACAAAATATTGATAGTTATTATGAGTTTTAATTTCATTATTCCCATATTTATTAATTACAAGCCATATGCTCCACTATAGCTCATTTATAAGCTTGTTAATACAAAAAATGTATTTATCAATGTATGTGGTCAAGAGGAATTTAATTAACTAAAAAAACGCCTCCTATCTATCAATTTTGATGTTATTTAATGTAAAATATTTCAGATTTACTATTGTTTGGATGGACTTTGTAAGTATTTTGTATTTTTTGTAATATATTGACTTAATTTTTTTTGTTATTCATTATTCTATTTATACCTAAGTATTATTTAGTATAATAGATCAATTTGTCCATTAATTAAGCAGTTTTAGAGAATAGTGGTATTTTAAAATGCTCTTATTAATGTTTAAATTACAAGATTTCTATTTTTATTAATATTATTGTTTTAGTGCTTTAAAACAAACATTTATCATGATATATTATAACACTACAAAAAGTTTTATAATGTGCATATAAATATATAATTGATTTATACCGTTCAAAATAGTAGACAACTTGTATTACCTATAAAATAAACTATTTTTTTTTAACACATTATAACTAGACTATGTTTTATGTATGAAGTATTTACTTATTTATAGACTAAACCGAAGATAATTAACTAATTAAAAACATGCAACTTCTTTGATAGGAGTGAATACCGTTTTACAGAAAACTTACCTAAAAATATGCTTTAATAATATACTATTGTATTTTCAAGTACCTTCTACAGTAATACTCGGTATATTGATTTTCAATGTAACATAAAACTTTTAAGTTAGCTCGATTAGTTTGTGTTCATACAGATGAGTGTGATATTGAATATACTAATCGAATATCTGAGTAAAAGTTTATAAATAAATAAAAATAAAAACTTTAAACAAACGATTTAAAAATAAATACTTCCAACTAGTTGTTTATTGAATATAAAGTAATATGTTAATTGATTGGAGAATTAGAAGTCCTAGTTCAATACATAGTGTGAAATAATTTAATGCCATTTTTTTTTCTGAACATAATATAGTATGATTTATCACTAATGGTCACTTTTAAATGGTAAAAAAAAAAATGTTAATATTATTGATTTATAATTTTTTGATGTTTAAGAAATAAAAATAATTAGTTGAGCATCGAATGAATGAGGTTAATATAATTTATAGTTTAGTTTCAAAATTATGGTGTAGGTACTGTAAAAGGTTATCGTTTTCATAGTTATTTCTTTTGAGTAATACAAAATCATTGATTTTTTAAAAAATATTTTACATTTGTTATACTATTTCAAATTATTATAGAATAATACATGTAAATTGTAATGTGGTTATTAATTAATTAATAAAGTGAAATACAATTAAAACCAAAATTTATATCAAATTATATTTCAAATCATTTCAATCATTTTTAAATTATAATTTATGTTAGTACTAAAAAGGTTTAAGCAATTTTTGTTTATTATATTAGTAAGGTCGCCAATATTGTTGGTCATAATATATTACATTAAATAAACTGCCCTCAACAATAACAATATATTCACACAACATTTTAAATCGGGGCTACAACTTTCCAATTATTTAATATAAGTACCTCCTCCATGTATAATTACCAGACATCCGGATCCGGAAACTAGAATTTAATAAGACTTACATTAATCGCGGTGAGTATAATGGTTTTAGGCAACATGATTTTAATGTGCCGTCGTAATAAACTGTAATAATTGAGCTTTTCGTCTTTCTGTCAAGAGAAGAACAATTAATACAATCGGAAATTATTATTTATTGTTTATAAATGTACCCAACACGTCAACACGTTATATTTTATGTTATTAATATTATTTAATGAATTAAATAACAAGACTTTTAGGTTGAATATGATTGGCTGGAGATCGGTAAATTTATTGACACAGGTGTATCATAGCAACTATGGAATTCCCAGTCTCGCTTTTCGTCCCTTATTGCAGAAATGGAAGTGAAAATTTCCCCTACAAACACCACTTCAGTCAATGACACTGCATGTCAGAAATATGTACAATTCGATGCATGTTCCTTGGATATCATACATAAGCCACGTGCTGAACGAAGTTGGCCATTATTGAATTCTCGTATGTGCAGCATGGTCCTAGCGGTGATCAGTAGCCACAGCGATTCGGCTTTTGGCTAGAACCCGTTTCGCCAAGTATGCCGTAGTGGCCACAGCTACAGTCACCGCGACGGCCACGTCTAGCAAACACCGTTCGTACCACCAGTCTTGAGTGGCCGGCTTAAGCATTAGGTCGACTCGATGTCTGGCAACGTATTCGACCCAATACATAGCTTTTTCCAGCGGGTCCTGGTCACGGTCCCGATACAGCGTCGAAAACCGTTTCGCGTTCTTCGCATACCTGCAAGAATAAAATGTAATAAATAATAATGGTGTCGTACAAAATATGTACTATGTTCCTTTCCAAAAAAAAAAAAAATTAATAATAGAAAATTATTTTAGTATATTATGCGAGCATGCACAATAAACATATTATCGAAATAAATTGATCAAATGATAAAAATTAACAAGCACCCGTGATGGATTTATCGTGTATAGTACATTTTATGGGTTTCATTAACCCAGTAAGCGAGTTGTAGTATCAATCTAAGCACGCAGTTTATCAAAAGATCACATTGTTCTATTGATTTTAGTTACGCTATTGTTCGATCGTTTATAATTTAATATTACGATTTACGACGGATATTAGTATTTAGCATGACTTCAATTTTATAGTAGGGTTTAACCATGAGCTGAAGTACCTAATAACTAAAATAATTGTGTCAAAGACTTTCCTAAATGAATGCTTGTACATGTACTACACTTAAGTTAAGAACCGTACTCGATGACGACCAGTTTTGGAGGGTGGCAATCAGACAATACCCGTTCACCTACCCACTGTGTCTACATGCTATTCAGTCTATAATATTATGCCTGTTATGTAGTAAAGTTGCAACCCTGTGTACATGTCTAAAACTCAGTACAGTTCTTAACTTTCGTTAGTTCGTCAGTCGCTTAAAGCATTAATCAATATTGGGGATATCATGGTGATTATGGAATTTTAAAAATATCCCTCTTTCTGTTAGAAAAATTTAACGGTTTCTAAGTCTAACTAGGTAACTAAGAAATCAGCCTATTTTATTTTTATTAGTAACTGCGCTAAAATTATGTATGGTGTATTGATATGTGTTAACGTTAAGAATATAAGAATATAGGCGATAAAGCAATTAATATGATCAAGCGAAATAATGAATTTTAAAAAAGGTATATCGTACATAGATACTTGCACTAAATTTTCATAACATGCAAATAAATGTATAAACATATGGAGATGCGTTTAATCAGATTTGCCGTGTGGGAATCGTCGGTAAATAGATTTGTGTACATAATCGATTTGAAAATCACCACGGCCACTACGTTCATTCATATTCAATTACGCTGCAATGATATAGTTTAAAGTCACACGGCACTGTTTACCGTATCGGTATGTGACTAAAATGTTGACAATATCTGTCGAGATTGTTCGTGACTAAAATAATTGCGTTTGAGTTTATTTAATATTTTTACGTAAGTACTAGGAATGCATCAAGAGAAAAGTTTTTGTAAGACTTTTTCTAAATTAGATTTTTGAGCTTTGCGAGTAGGTGAGCGTGAGGGAGGGGCGCTAAAAGCATGGGTTGGTATTGTGTGTACAGTGTATACGACAATGTACGGTAAAATACGCCAACAACGACGAAAAAAAAACAGAAACGTATCGTCTCCACTTCCGGCGTTGACGTTTTGATGATAGCGTTATAATAATAATGATAATAGTATAATACGAACAATAAGATGTGTGCTCGCCCGCTATTATTATATCCACGCCACGATGGAGTAAAATACAGCCCTCCGTACAAAGATAATATTATAATAAACCACATATTGCAACTGTATCCAACCACCGTAGTATACCAAATATATGCGAAAGGTAGAAATGTGAACCATACGTTTCGACCTGCCCACCTAGGTATCATCATCCATATTATAATAAATACCCAGCTACCATAGTATCATATAAATAAACATGATACGGAGCACATGCTAATCATACATTCTGTGGTGATCTCAAAGGGTAAGAAGAACGTATCATATATAATAGAGTGGCGGGGACTGCTGACGGTTTTTTTTTAAAAATAATTATAGGTTTTTATGTCATTCGGAATGCCACCGCGTTTAAAATTGTTAACGTATTTCGTTTGTAAAATGGGCTACGAGTATTTAAGGTTCCTGAACTTCTGTTAGAACTTTAAAATTATATTAATTACTTCAATATCCGGAACTAGTGCGTACGTAGAATTACCTCACGACGGCAAATTAAACAAGTAACAAGGTACCTATGTAAAAATAAAAACAAAATACTATATTATAAAGCAATATTGGACACCAGCATTCATCAGAGACAAAATACAGATAAGAGACCAGGCTCTCTATGCTCCAGCTATTAAGAGTGTCTAAGCTAATGGCACAGTTTTTTTTTTTTACTAAGAAAACTAGAACTGCAGTAATACAGTATAAAGAGTCAATTAAGAAACAAAATATGGAAATGACCATTTTTATACTGGGTGATTCATATCAAAACGAATAGATAGAGTTTTTTCACATAATTACATAGCCAGAAAACTTATCCGGGGCACTGAATCAACCCTATAGTCTCCTTGAAATTAATTGTATAACAGTTATACAATGTCTCTATAATTATTGTAAGAGCTGGTATTGATGTGATGTTGGTAAAACAAAATGTATGACCTATTAAGTTAACGTGCAATGTTGCCTCAGTATTTCAGTGAGGTATAAATCTGCGAATGGTTTTTTAGTCTGACAACGTCTTGAAAAATAATTGATTGACAACGAATAGTTTTGGTTGAAACTATAATATTATGATATAATATTACATGTAAATTCTACCTAAGCGTATATAAATTTAAATGTTTAAATTTTTATCGGTTATTTTATAGTATTCTAAGTTACATACAAGTAGTTACTCTGTAGGTTAGTGTGTTAGATTGCTATAAAATATATAATTTATATCAATAGGTACTGCTATAATGCTTACTTATCATCGTGGAGCACAGTGGATATAGTGTCACCGGCGACCTGTTCGTCGATCAAGTCGAGTTGCAGTTGCAGTCCACATTCGTTTTGGACGATAAAGTTCATGTTTGAAAACTGGTCGGCGAACAAGGGTATTCCGACGATGGGCACGCCCGAGTAAAGAGCGTCCAGTATTCCCATTAGACCACCGTGTGATATAAACAATTTAACGTTTGGGTGATCTAGAATATGGTACAAAGGAATACAACGGTCATTTACGTGTTGTTGGTTCGTGATTGACAATATAATCAATTATCAATCATAAAATTATGGTTACACGGCGTTCTGGGTAGGCTATTTAGCTACACCGGTGTCACGAATACACAGTCGATTGCTGAATGATAGTATGACTATTATTATTTACACACGAGCAGCGTACGATAAAAGCGGATATAACAATATAATAATATTATTATTATTTTTTTAATGTGATCCAAGTCAAATAATATTTAAAAAATAGTGTAATAATATAAAATTAAATCATGGTCTTCGACTTTATTGAAATATTGTTAGTTACAGACATTTTTTATTTACACAAGACCCACGTGTATTATATTAAAACTGATTTTGTTACTATACACTGATTGAATCATTGCATTCTTGAAGATATTATAATAATATTACGTTGGATACAAAAATATTAGTTATTTGTCTTATTTTCGCATGAATTCAATTACTAATTATGTAAGTAAATCAAATTAAATTGTATTTTTATGATTTAAGTCTACAGCCGGGGATGATTTTTTTTCAGTTTCTAAGAAACGTTTTTTGTCTCAATAAATTACATAAATAATTACTTGAACTATAGAGAATTAATACAAACGTATTTTTTTCTTTTAAACATTAATACTGGATATTGAGTTTGATTATTATATTATGCTTTGCAAAAAATGTATTGTGTTCAATATAAATATTGATTCCCAGTATTAGTCTATTGATTTCTTTTCAGATATAATAAAAGAAAACAATTGATCGTGTATACCAAGTAATATAAAAAAGGTATTACCTGCATTATTTTTAATTTCGTTGTAATTTAATAGTTATTTTTTCATTATTATGGCACTGGCGCAATTTAATGGAGTAAAATTATGAAAAAATGGTTGAAAAGGTTATTGACTATTTACATTAAAAAGCAGGTAATCACATTGTTGTACAGTATGAGCCAAGTGTACTTCGTCATTTTGTAGGTCAAATAATTTATATATATTATTTGTACATTACTATAAGAAATAAGGTAGGTTGGAGTATTTTTTGTAAAATATATCATATATTTTAATACGAATATGTTTCTGATATAAATAATTTACAGTTATAAGTCTGAATATTTTGAAAATTTTTCTCTGCAGGGAAAATAATACAAATAATACAATTATATAAATTATGATTTGTCAACATTTATAGGAAGGAAAAACAATATCGAAAATTTAAAATAAACTTTTAGATTTAAAAATAGATTATTAGTTATGTCTTATGTATATTTTACAAAAATATTTTAAGTTACAAAATTACGAAGGTCCAACATTAATAACTATTACTGAATAGTAAAAAATATCTGTACAAGTTCGTATTAAATTAAAGGATTGTGTGTTTAAACTTCAGTTGAAACTTGGGGAACTTAATTAAGTCAATATATAAATTAAAAAGTAATTTAAAAAAAATCATATGAGTTAAAAGGTATAATAATAATAATAATTAATAACTCTAACCGATATAACTACCTATTAACGGCAAAAATTAAGTTGTAATCGATTGTAATAATATTGTTAGAGGTATTGTTAATCCGAGAATAAAAATATTATCATAAAAATATCCATTATTTTCAGTCGTAATTACTATTTATCCACTATATACCACCATCTTTATTGCACAGATATTCGAAATGTTTCATAAAAACCTCGACTATAACTACTTTTTCTTGCTAAATTACGTTACTTATATGTACACCGTACGTGCAATAATCATTAACTACGTATATGTGTAAAAATAACGCAAATCACAAATTTAATTTGATTTCTGGTCACATCATTATAGTTTATGGACGGACATTGCAATATGCAGCTCAATAGTCAACGTTTAATAAACGTAATGAAATATTTGACAATAGTCACGATTTCTGTATCATAGGATATGTCAGGAAAAGAGGAAAACACCGTACATTGTATCATAGAATCGTACAGTAAAATGATATAGCAATAACATACCTGCATTATGTTTTCACAAGGAATAAATATTATTACTTAGGATCGTGCTCGTTTTTGCCCGCATCTCTCCGTTTTAGCATAAAACATAATATTTGTTTGAAAATTAATTAACGGAAATTTAGAGACATGTATGTTGTATAATGTGTACAATGTACATAGGTATTATAATACAAGCATAGATGTAAAATTTCAATTAAATCGTACTTCAAAGCCGACACCCTCGAACGAAAACTTATCAAATGACGATTTAATAAAAGAACTGATAATGTCTAGTATATAATTAATTGTCGTATTATCAGACTGGAATATCGTGAGGTGAGACGACTAGGGCTAGAGTTTTGAAGCTAATGGTTCTTTTTTCTATTTGTGGTAGAAATGTTTCATCTGACCGTACTATATTCGTTTCATATAATTCTGATTTGAAATAAATCAAGATTATTTTGCGTTTAGATTCTGAGTGGAGCGAAGAATGTATTGATTTTACAATGATGTGTATTTTTTTGTGTCTGGAGACACTTTTTCCAGTAGAAAAAATGCTCTGATCATCAACTTCAATAGGGGTTTCTTTTAGAAAATTGAATCCAATTGGTACTTTTATTATTTCAAAAATCAAAATCGAAAATACTCAGTACTTATCAAAATGTTTGGTAAAAAACTAAAAATAAAATACTAACATTTGTTGAAATTGTACTCAATTTAGACACTCAATTTCGTTTTTCCATCGGATGCAACGATTTATCATTGAATTCAAATTAAACACATTTATTACAGTGCTTTTTAAATAACGAGGTATATATTCGACTCTTACTGTACTCCGACTTTTAGTAATTATAAAATGTTATTCAACGTTTTCTATTAAATAAATGTTTTGATATTTTTTTTTTTGTATTTTAAGCTGAATTTAATGGATATCCGAATGTAATTTATTAATAACATATTATATGTTCTTACTTTTTTATAACATAATTTTGTATTACAATATTATTATTTGGGCGTTGTAGCATTTAAAAACTATTTTAAAATATTTTTTTTTTAATCTAAATGTTATAATATCGTAGTTTGGGTATTGTAGGATGACTGTTTGAGTATTCTTAAATGGTAGATTTCATAATACCTATTAAAACCTTTTTACAACCTTTTAAAACGCATATTGATAAAAATGCTGCAAATTATTGGCTAATACTAGATGGGATAGTAAATAACGGGTTAGAAATTGAATACAAGTTTGTAATTTAGAATTTTAACTTTTTATTTTTATTTAAGCCAAGTTTAATCCTAATAGAGATTTAATTCTGTGTAATTTACTGTATGGTAAATTGTAATATTTGAAGAAGTTAATTGTTCAGATAAAAATTTTTAATTAGGAATAATATGGAATTATCATTAAGCAGGTGATAATAATATTCATATTTGTTTACTACTCTTGGATTTTATATTTAAATTGGATTATTTAATTACCCATATAACTGTAATTATTTAATAAAAACGATCGAACTATGTTTATTATATATACAACATTAAATAGAAAAGCCTAAAAATGTTCTGTTGGAATAACAACAGTGTTTAATATTTTCTTAAATAATATTACTTGCAACAGACATTCAAAATCATAAATCACTCGGCAATTTTGATTTTTTTGTTTCTAGGTCGTGTTTTAAATCGTGCATGTAAATAAAATAAAATATTTACTTTCGAAACGATAAACGAAAATATATATCTTATATAGGTCTCTATTATTATTTTATACTAATCGATTCCATCATTATAATAATAAAATACCGTCAGGGTATTTCTTCTACTTCAAAAGTACCAACGTTGTTCTACATTGAGATTATTCCGACTTGTCATGCGTATGCTGTTCGTATATAATATATACTATATATGCGTTTATTTGAAATAATTTACATTGGTAGAAAGTTAGCTTATTAACCGTACCGAATATTCTGTACATAATAGTGCATTGATATTAAGCCACTATTGCTTCAAACGACGTAGGTAGATCTGTTCAATTGAATTGTATACATATTCACAATGTTTGTGTTTCGTAAACAAATTAATGATCAGCAGTTACGTTAATTAACTCGTCAATCAGAGGTTTCGGAGTAGAGTGGACTATACATACATTTTAACTTATGGATTGTAAAACGAAATGCGGCAGAAGTGGTCTTTAATGTTGAATGGAAAAATGCAGGGTCTCACGAGTCACGGGTAGATTATTAAATTCTATTTCCAGATGTAATAATAATAATAATAATGGTAATTAAAAATGTGGATATTAATAGATAAATATTAAATGTTTAGTGGTCATTGTTCATAATAATATTATGGCAGGGAGGGGTTCTGAGTTTGAATAAGCTGGGAGTCGTCAAAGTTTGTGATCCGAATAGCTAACAAAAAGCTACCGAGTATTGGGTAACCTATCATTCACAAATATGTCTAGAGTTGTGAATAATAATAGCGATAATTATAATAAAATATACATAGCAACAGCCAACAATGTGCACGTATAATAATAGTAGGTAGTTAGGTACCTAAGTCATATATTATATTTTAAGTGAACATTAAACCTCTAAATTGTTAGTGCAAAAAAACACCTACAAATAGCGGTGATTACTTCTTCTACAATACTTAAGAGAAAAAAAAACAAAAGTTAAATAATTTAAAGGAAAATAAATTTTGTAGATAACGAAAACTCATTTTTTCAAAATAATTTAAAACAAAAAACTTAAAGCTGTTTAAAAAAGAGTAAAAAAACGGAATTTTTGTACTATTCTTTTTTGATTTAATGTGTTTTAGCTCTAATATTGCATTTGAAGTAGTAATAGCTGATCTGGGTCAACATGCCTTAATTAAATTTCTATGTAATTTTGTTATCACGCAACAACCAACACTGGCAATGATTTATGTATAGGACCACCTATACAATTGTAAAGTACTTTGAAAGTTTGAGCTGTTATTAAAATATTTCAATCTTTAAATTTTTGTTTTTATTGAAATTGCTTATGTTTAGAACTTAAAAGAACGGTGAATGAACACCAGGCCCTTTTAAAGTGCCTTTTATTAGTGTTTTCGATATGTATCTTTAAATTTTGAAATTTAATCAAAAACACAATAATCATCATCTTTATACCACTATTTGCAAGAGACCATATATTTTATTATTTGTTATTTAAAACATTAATGTTGTTTTAATCGTTCACTCACTGAGCACATCGAACTGAGGCATCCACGGCACGAACATGACATTTTCGGGACGAACTTCCGGCGGTGGTGGGTCGTCCTCCCATTTCCACAATACCCTGTAGCCGTCCAGTCGGCCGAACACTCGGAGCATGGCCATCTTTTGGTTGGTTGGTATGGACGAACTTTTCACTATTGAGCCCATCGAAAAGTAAATGACACCTCGTTCGGCCTCGGTCACGTACCGTTCTAAGTCCTGTTTACAGAGATGCGCTTGTGCATGAGAGGATATTGGACATTGATAAATGGGTGGTGCTATGTTTTAATAATATTTTTAATTGTAAGGTGCACTTATTAATGTACAAGAAAACAAATTGTTTATGGTACATTATATATATCATATATATATATAGTATTATATACCATAAAATAAATATTATGTACTAAAAAGCTTTAGAAAGAGGGCTTAATGCCTAAGCAGTCGAAAACAATAACAATAGATTTTTTATAGAGTAACAAGGATTTTCAAGAACATCACCCTGGCATCTTTCCACTCCAGACATTAAGTATGAATTTCTTCTAAACGCTCAACTATGAAATAATGCACAGCAAAGATGCATACAACTCACAAAGGGGCATACGCCCAATTTAACATGTGCATTTTAATTGGTTTGCTTTTTTATCTTATAATAATAGACATATTGTGAGTAAAGATTATTATTAAAAAGAGAAGGAGGAGTAAATATGTTTGGGTTTAGGCTTATACGACCAATCAGTATGAATACTTCGTGTGTCAATATCGTTTTCGGGTGGCTAGTAGAATAATGCATTTTTGTCGACGTTTCAGATTTATCGTCGGTCAAAAATCGTTGTGCTGGAAAAATTCACAGATAGTATTAATGGCTACTCGAGTATTTTTAGGCGGGATAAATCTCATTTAAATAGCCGCATTACGGACGTATTGCGACGTGCTGTATGCGAAAGGAAAACAATATATCAACGCACATATTATATAATGTATATACGTCGCATTGGACGATGGCCGATGGACAAAAGGACGAACGAAAAGATAAAAATGTTCTAATGACAGCGCAGAAGAGTAAATGTTGCAGGTGCAATTAAAAGTGAAAAATAACAACGGGGTTTTGATGAAAAAAAAGAAATAAAAGCAAAAAATACGACTCTCGAAAACAAACTGCAGTAAAAGAAACGTGAAGGATTATTGCTCGAGTCTGAAGATTTAAAGGGAGATATAATGAAACCGTTTCGAGAGACGATGACAACAACTACTCGTACAATAATTACCTAATTTACAAACAGTGTAATAAACAACTAATATTTATCTGATGTTTATATATTTTAATCTTAGCATTTTTCAAAATTTTTATTTACAATACAGTTCTTCGAGTAAGGTGAATTGTATAAGTATCTGTGCTTAACATTATGTATTTGTATTATTATTTTTCTTTAAATGAGCGTCGTCATGTTGACGACTTAATGCTCTTCATTTTTCGAATTAAACACTGTAAAAGTGTGTGAAACATTCACTTAAATCGTTCAAGCAGCAAATAATTTATTAAACGATTAAATTGTTACTAAATGGACTAGAGAAGTTATTCCGTATACCTCCCAAAGCGTGACGACTAGGTAAACATTTCCGGTGGATTAAGATACGATTACCGGCAAACTCGAAGAAATTATTGTTATTTTGTCATTTTTTTTTAAATATAATGATTTTGTATACTGCCTAGTTCTCATTTCATCGAACATTTACATTCACACTTCAACGGACTGCGCTCATACTTTATTGAAGGTCAGTCAATAGGTTAGGTTAGGTTAGGTTAGGTTAGTTATATATTTTTATACCATTAAGAGATCGGTGAAATTGCAATTACAGCTGGTCTAGATAGACTAATGATGGAGAACAAATTTATCAAATCGCTAATACTAAAAATCATAAACATATTGTGTTCAAATAAATAACTACATGTAGGTAACCTGTAATGATGTAGGTAACTTTTGTTCTTGGTAGTAATACATTTTATTATTTCAACATAGAAATAAAATAATAAAATATTATGTTATTGATTAAGTATGTTTATATTTTTTTACTATAATTAATACGTACATGTTAGCATATTTAGCTTTTTAATAATATGTTTCACGATTGAACTATATAATTTGAATAAGCACCAACGTAATTACAAGGGTTCAAAATTATATTTTCACTGCACTACATTATAAAATGTACACATTTAACAAAAGCTATGCGCCTTTTACAATATACATACTTAATGCAAAAAAATATGGTATTTTACATTAATTGCCCAAAAAAACAACTAAAATTTGCAATGGTATAACGATCCACGCAATAATTTAAATAATATTGGAGTAATAAATTCCCAAGTTAAAAAATTTCATTGTATGTATTGTAATGGATTTAAGAAATTTACCAATTTTAAGATAATTTTACAGATAATATTTGAATCGGTAATGCACCTAAAATTACACTAATGGATGATTATTTTACATTCTGAGCAGAGTGTGGAATGTATTGATTTTTCAATGATGTGTGTATGTGTTTTTTTGTATCTATATATAAGTAGTAGGAAAATTCCAACTTTCAACTTTGAGGGTGGTTTCTGACAACAATTTGGATCAGGTTGTTTCTTTCGAGGGATTAAATATAAATTTTTCAATATAATAGTGGAAAACAAAAATAAATTATGGGAAAACGTGAATATTTACGCAAAACCAGTTTAACCATTGGATGAAATCTACTTTCTATTTGTGGATATTATTTATCTTACTAGTTGAAACTAACAAAATATATGAACTTTGAAGTTTAAATAATAATATTTGTCTAAAAACATCAAGATTTGGTTTTTTATAAACGTTAAATGCTATAAAATTAACAATATTTTATTAAACTCTTACCTATTTATTTGTATGGAAGAAAAATAATTATTCATATACGGGGTTAGGTTAGGTTTAAATGTTCATAATATCTGGTCTATATATCTTTAATGTTGTTATTATAATAATTTATGAGTTATCTTATATTCAGTTTTTAAGTTTTTTGACGTAACCAAAAATATTTTATGGACCATAATTAAATAAATTTAATAAAAATAGAAAAATTCTTATGACTATAATTAGCTCAAAAACAGATAAAATATTTTTAATATTTCGTGGTGTATATAAGATGTTTATACAAACATTTGGTTATAAAATCATGTATCTATGAATATTAATCTTTTTCCATTTTTCCATTTTAGCATCTCGAATTCAATAACTAGAGTCATTTTTTTGACAGACATGATATTGATGTTGAAAATCAAAGCTTCATTTCAATTACTTATTTTGTTTGTGTACAGAGATACATTGAAAAAAAATACACATCATTTTAAAATTAATTCATAAATCGCTCCTCTCAGAATCTAAAATAAATTTAGTTTCGATGAAAGTGTTTTAAATCTGAGTCAGAACGGGGTAGGTATGTAAGCTAAGACCCTGAATACCTCTTTCGGGAATTCCGATGTGCAGCATTTTTCGTATTAGCAAATAATATTATAAAAATATTAGTGTAGGTAGGTATCTATCCATGTTTGAGCTTTGAATATAGATTTACTCTTCTTTGAACTTCGTTGAATAGGTTCTTTTAAAAGCAGCAAAAAAAATCCATGAGTTCGATCCTTTTATAGGATCATCATATTTGGGTTGTAAGAATAAAAAACCGTTTTCATTAAAAAGAATTTAATATAAAATGAACCCAAAAATATATATACAGCAAGGCATAAGTATTGTTTCCGCTGTCAGAATAAATACTAAAATTGAACACCATCATCGAGCCGTGTGAAAAACATAAAAAAATACTCATTTTCAATCACTATAAAGTCCAAACATTTTCTCGCATGACGACTAAAGTCTGTATAGGGTAATTCGTTTAAGAATAAAACTTATTTTTTCAAAAGATTCACGTTTTTTGAAATATTATTTTTTACATATATATCATTATAAAGCAATATTTTTGGAAAACAATTTATTATAGTTTTAGTATTTTATCGTTAAATATGTATATTTATTTAAGTTTTTCATTTTAAAATGACAGTATTATTATATTTTTAATTTTCTCACGCCAAAACAGAATATTTTTGTAAATAATTAATTGTATACAAATTGAATTTTAAACGAATAGATAATTAATTATTCTGAAGTGTTTTGAGTTTAGATGAGCAGAGTAGTGGATCAATATTTTGCGAGACATCAAAATACCAAATAGATTTACCAACAACTCGTTTTTACTAAAAATGCACAAAGTCAAGAAACAATAGCATACGTTATATCATGCACATTGAACGTACATATGAAATAACTCTTAACGTCATACGCATCTATGAATAATGTTTGTTTATTTACTTTATAATATCTAAAAGCTTATTGATACCCAAACCAATTTTTTCCCTCTATATCGTGTAAAATGTATGAAAAATGTGGAACTGACATTCAGAAGTCATTTGTAAATAAATAAATTTTTTGAAAAACCTGTATTATATAGAAAATATTCTGTCTCATGCAGATGAACAACTGTTTTATGGATAGGCACACAATACTTAATATTTTATTTAAGATTTATTGTAGAACAAGATAACATCTACATATTTATGTATAAATATATTATTGTGACGTACTGCATTAAACAAATTTTGTTTGTTTGTATAAATTCAGTTCTTTTTTCCACAGCTATAATAGATTTAAAAAAGTTTTATGTAATTTTATATATAAATTAAAAAGTGAATCCAGTGTAATAGTGTTGTAAATCGTAAGGAACGTAATTTAAAGTGTTATAACAATTATATGCAATCTACGTTTTAGCCTAATGTATTTTGTATTGTTATTTGGAAAAACTGTAATATCTAATTGTAGATATTACAGATATTTTCAATGGTGATCAATTTATGTAATTCAAAATCTTTTCTAGAAATGTAAATCATAAAAATTTTGTTTTTTTATTTTGAAAAGTCGATTAAAAGATTTTAGTTGGTTGGTAATTGGTATGTTATTAATATTACAAATGATGGCATTTGGATTACAATCATTAGTATTAATTCATAGTATTTATAATTTTTTTTATGAAGATGATATCAGTTTACAAAATATTAACAAATATCGTGTTGATTAGTTTTAAATATTTTTCCTTTAACTATATTGGTTCAATATTTATTTGATTATCAAAATTTTCAGAAATTTGAAATTTGAAAATTATAATTAATTGTTATTAAAAAAACACTTATTATAAAAGACAGAAGAAGCTGCTTTGCAGCTATATAGCTGGTATCGAGTTTACCTCATCATTAAGTAGGTCACTGTTATGCATATGTTAAATTACTTATTTAAATTCAATGATAAATAATTGCACCCATACGTAAAATGATTTTGAGCGGAGAGTTTTTAAACTTTGTCTATATTTCTATGGATATTATTCATTGCTATTAGTTATTTATTTTTCTACTAGTAAGTAGTAATACACAAGATTGACCTCATTTTATCCAAAAACACATCGTGTATATTATTATAGAATAATTATTACTTATACAATTATTTCATACAATGTTCCTAGCTGTTATTATAACTTGTGGGTTATAAGTCAATACCGACGTACCGTTCAACTGTATGAATACTGAATAGGCTAGTGGTATAAATAGCAAAACAATTAATCTAAATAATATGTTAATTATTGAGTATAGAAAATTATAATTCAATAGTGTATAGAATATATCTAGTATTTATGATATGATTAATATTTTTTGAATGAATAATAAAATTACGAAAATCGTCTGAGCATAAATCATTATTAAACGTTGGAACCCACGAGGAAGATTGTAGCATTTTTACTGCTCTTAAGGATGATGTCAGAAGCATACGTTACACAAAAAAAAAAAAAAAAAAAATTAAAAAAATAAATATAGTTTGAAACCAAATTATTTTTCTTGTTATGGATTAATTTCTGAAATAAATGTTTAAATTCACATTTGTGATTTATCGTTTTGGGCGTTAAAAAATCATTCGATACATGATCTAAATTCTAAATTTAAACTTCACTTAATTTGAATCATACTTGAACATCAACGCATGTTGATAAATTTCCATAAATCATATCATTGACAGATAGGTACTCACTTCCGGCAAGGGCATTGGCTTCTTGTACGTGCATCCTCCGACTTCGATGATACCTGGTGGCAGCGGTCGGGTGTCTCCAAACACGAAGTGTGTGTTTACGATGATGGCGTTTACGTTGTTCAGGGATTCTGATACTGTACCGCCATTTAGTTTTCCTAAGTATTTATCCACCATTTCTTGAGCCTATTAAAATAACGCAAACCATGGATATGTTTGTGCCGCTGAATATTATGGGTTCGTAAATCGTTAATATAAATCATCCAGTACATGCGAAACACAGGAAAAAACGTTAGCTATCATATTTTCACATCTGTCTGTAGATTATGACGTTTAATTTTTATTTGTTTAATCGAATGTTTTTGATATCGTATTATCTTAATGTATTTTATTTTGTATTAAAATACGTTATTTCTTAAATTTAAAATGTATTATTATTTATACAGTAAACATTAAACACATAATATTATTATAATATGTAGTTTCGTTTTTAAATGTTACATAAACATTTTTATTATTAAATTTTGCCAGAGAACATTTAGTGGATATTCAGGGCTTCAAATCCGAGTCACACGACTTAGATATTCATCATAAGTCATAACAATATTTAACCTTTGGACATAATATAACACCATAGGTACTCACCGCATGTTCGTATTTGAATTTGTAGTACGTTTTCATCGCTACCAGAATTACAGAGTTGATCAGGCGTTCAGCAAACATCATCCGACTAGTAAACGGTAACAAGTTTACCGGTACATATGACGGCATCACCACGTCACCGACCATACCGACAAACCACGGATAGAGACTGGTCGAAGTTAAACCGACGACTGGTGCACCGAAATGATTGGCAATTGACACAAAGCAACCAGTGTTGAAGATCTGTATGGATGTAAAGAAATAAAAAAATAGTTCGATCGTTATATTGTATTTTGATGGTAGGTCGATAAAGGAAAAAATAGAGCAAAATTAATATGCTATAAGAAAATACCAAACGGTGGAGTAGTACGACCATAGTGATGTGAGATGTGTAACATTTTTACGTTAGTACATAATGTGAATGGATTTTTGAAAATCTAAATCGAGTCCCAAAAATGTATATAAAACAACGAAATTATTACTATCGACATCTGCAGAAGGTTTTAAAAGAACGACATACCATTATACTCCCGAATTTGGTACGCAAACACGAGTTATACATGTAATTGAAAGTAAATTTTGTAAATAATGACAATGATATTTAAAAATAGCGCATAAAAACATCAGCTGAAGTTATGTAAAAAGTTATTTAAGAAAAATATATTTTGAACCTATAATAAACACTAAATACATAAGAAACCCGTTGTTAGTTTCTCCGAGACATTATCAGATATTATCACTTTCAATATTATAATTTATAGTAAGTGTTTTAGATTTAAGATTGTACTTGAAGAATTAAAAAGTTTATTTCCGTCATTATGTTTTATCGTATTTTAAAAATATTTTCGACTTTCTTATTTACGTCACAACTATCAATTGAAATAACATTCGAGGACCATACTTTGAATAATATCACACCCTTGGAACAAAACCACCATAACTCGTAATGTGGTACTTTTACGTATGATAACTATCAGAACCATGAACATTTTCAATACAAGACGGTAGACTACCATAATCATAAACGTTATCATTATTAAATTCGGCGTCACATCGTTGGGTCGGTATAACATTTCTCTGTTTTTTTTCAAATTAAATTGTTTTCATTTTTTTAAAAATTTTGTTAAAACCACCTGTATTAAACCCCCTTCATAAAACGCGGTTTTCTTAACGCGAAATACAATTTCATTCGTCAGAGTTTTCGGGTTATAACCACAGAGATGGGTGCTTAGTATATTATTATTTTATTTTATACTGTGAATTCAAAACTGTATTATTATATGGTAGGTATTAACATTATTCCCCGTCACTAGCTGTGCACTCGACGGTTATTGCAGGTCACGGACTCATGGCGTTACGAGTGATTTATTTTTTTATTTTCGTGGACAGGGTTCCGGGTACAGAAAATGCGTTTTCCGCGTAATACAATGTAATACCTGACGAGTATTATAGAATTTTTCGCATAAGTTTCACGCGTGCGTATACCTGTACAGTATAAAACATTGTCCGATTTTGATTTTTCAATTTGCCGTCCTAAATAAACGTACCCGGCAGCTGATCTATTGTCTTGTATCGAATTACGGACTCGGGCTGATTTCCAGCGAATTCATGCCGTGGACTCGTTCCAAAAGCTGGACACGACTTGGTAATTTTTTTTTTTGTTCCCTTAAATGTAGATCCAATGCGTGTGGGTAAGAAAAAAAAAGGTGACGACGCGTTTATCATTTGGCAACCACGACCAACCGTTCATTAAGATAAGTCGAATATTATTATAATAGTATATAATATAAGCCATCACTGTACATAACCCACTGTACATTATAACAAATGTGAAGTTCACCTAACCTAACCCAATCGATATATCATAATAGTTTAAATGTGTACTTTGGATACTATATTAGGCAATATATATTTATATTACGCCTATATGTTAACGACCTTCACACTTATATATAATATTATATAGGATATAAATGAATGGAATGATATTGTATAATAATCTAGTTAGGTATGTATTGTTATTTTTCACGCATTGGGCTATAAAATATCATTACGATTATGTGGTACCGTAAAAATAGTTGAAAGGTCGATGCGTGCGCATGCGTCAATCATCAAATATTGACTATAAAAATATGTAAAGTCGTTATTATTCCGATTATTTTTGACTCAATAATAATCTAGTATACCCCGCCTGTGTAATTAAAATCAATAGTTATTAACAATGATAAATTGCAATATTTTTGAAAATTTAGATTTATAGTACGCCATTTTGTATCTAGCGATGACAAAAACTTCAAGTTTTCAAATGAAAACAGATTTTTTAACGTTTATATAAACGTTGATACATTTGTTAAAATGTTAAGTAAATGATTGTTTTTAAAATGTTTTTGTAGCTAAATAAGAATAAAATTAAAAGAGTCGTTCCTTCGAACTAAACTTTATGTAATACATTGCAGTAGCAATCTATATACATTTCATGTAAGCGTAATATACTATTTTTTATATTTTACACGTTATAATCATTTGAAATCAAAACAAGATGGTTCTCATTTGGAAAAAAAGAGTTGGTATCGTCAAATGGTATAAACACCCATACATAATGACAATAAATACAAGCTCAGTAGTTTAAATATTAATTAGACATTTAGTACCTATTATATAAGATTTAAAATTTCAAAAATCAATATTTTAATAATTCAAATACATAGTTAAGGAATAAAATGGGAAGTGTCCGTGCTTAACGAGTCACTCTGAATATAGCAATTAGATACACCAATACACATAGGTACCAACTGAAGGTTGATTTGGACGAGTAGCTCTATAGATTAAGTGATTTGCGTACTTACAAGTTATTATATTATAGATGACGTATAGTGAACATAGTATTGAGCAGAATATAGTGTTTAGGAATGTACTGCCGCCTACGCTGGGGAGCGGATTAAATCAAATTACTCTTCCGAATATAATATTATTTTAAACACTTATATTCGGGCCTGATTGAATAGAAGATACGATCGTTATTGCGTAGGGTTTCCCTAGTTCCTCCCGACCATACAAATAAGTTGACTGGAAATTTACAAAATAAAAACAAAATATTTTCTCTACCCCACAGACGAGAATACGTCGAATAATTAAAATTATCAAACATATTAAAATATATTCCGATTTTTGAGGAAAAAAATCTGAGCCGACCAACGTATTCCAGGAAAAAATATCGTTCTTAATTTATAATTTAACGCGTAGAGCGTAATGGATATTTGATCGCAAATTACTACAAAACTTCAAAAAAAAAAAAAAAAATGGTTTCTGTTTTTTAATATTATACTGCTATTAAACCACCGCTCGTTATTCAATGTAAATTTTTATGATTTAATTTTAAGCCACATAAAACGTTTCTACCAACTGCCAAGTATCCTAAGGGTAAATCGCCCTGTTCAGTTGCGACTTACTGCAATAAAAAAGTACGCCATGATCTCAATATACCAATAGTATTAGTATTATTAATAGATTTTGAACCGTATTTGATTATCGGTGATCTTACACCGTGTAATTGTGGACATTGGTAAATTATCATACTACCAGCGGAGCTTGACCATACTTTATAGAATGATTATTACCGTGGTGTAACCAGAATTTTTCTTTGACGGTGGGAGGGGGGGCTGATAATGTGTTAACACAGAGTTGGTTTAACTAGGATTTCCCAAATGTTTAGCATACCGATGTCGAGGTTTTATTTTAGGTTTTGTTCCCTGTACGGCTACGCTAGAAAAATTTCTATCTGCAGTGACTTTCATAGACCATAGAAATATTTTTTTAACTTTCCTATAGTTGGGGAGGGGGGGGGGTCGGCAGCCATGTATGCATGTAATAATTATATCATTAATGTCAACATATTATTATTATTATTGACACTTGCCTGTAAAAATGTGAGAAATAAACAAGATCATGTATGTCAAGTATTCTTTTTTTTCTAGTCTGGTGAATTAAAATCTGAGCATAAGCTCAGAGTGTTTTACAATGATTTATACTGCATTCTTAATACATAGTTTTTTTTTTTAAATTAAGTTATCAACCATGGCTTAATAATATTTTTTATTATTGTGAATTTCATGTTCTGGAGTAGAATACTTGTTGAAATCAAGGACTGGTACCTTTTATTTTCTGTCCTGGTTATGGTTTCAGTACTCAATGTTTTCATAAAAAGGTTCTGGTTCAGGTTCTGGTTTTCAAAAAATATTTTCTTTAGTAAATATTTGAATTTTATACATACTTACATAGTACATAAAATAATAAAACAAATTATAAGCATATGTTATCCATAATAATTACGTTCGGAGTGGGGTTTGGAAAAATACGAAACTGCAAAATGATTTTGGTGGGATAGTGATTGACGATTAAATTTCGGATTCCAAATTCATGCAGCAAATTATCAGCGTTTATCACATTTAAAAACTTTGAACGAAGTTGGTGATACAATATGTCACTGACCTCAGCTATGTTAAACTACAGTTTATTATTAAGATATTCTCTAAAACCAAATGCGTGAATATGAGTGCTGATTGAGTGCTGGATAATAGTATTGAACAATTACATATTATATTTCAATGGTGTGTGGTTGGAGACATTTACGTATCCCAAGGTAAATTTAGTGTGTATATAAAAATATTATATCATTTCGTATGAGTAACATAGTGGTGTACACATATTTCACATTATTTTGATTGATTTATGACTAAAATAATACGTTACGTCGGTTAGAGCTGGAGGAAAACTGCACGATGGTCCATTACATTATTAGAAAGTATTGTAATATCGATCTTATCGTAAGTATACTGCATTAATATTAATATTTACACCTACCGATATAGATTTAGTCAAAAACGTATCAACCAATCCCAAATTCTGTAATACAATAATATTTTTCACGAATACTTTGGTATTTAGTTGTAAATGTACTATGCATACATAATAATACGATATATTGCTATATTATTTGTGCTTTAATGATAAACTCAAAAGGTATAAATATTTTTCATTTTTAAAACAAAAGAATTTCCCATATAAAAGATGTACACCAAGTTTATTTTATTGGAAAATATTTAATACTGTGATCTCGATTTAACGAAGAACGTAATTTTGGGAAAACTTATAAAATCTATAAGAAAAAACAAATATATTACATAAGATATTAAAAAACAAATTTGAATATTATATTAACATTATTTTGGAAAATATAACTCCCT